CGTGACGTATGAGGTTACTGCTGCTAACCTGGTTCTAGCTTAGCCAGATTCTTGTAAAGCTCTATTAAACAATGACGACAAAGATATTCACTTATACCTTGTCCTCAGGTACCGGCAGCTATAAATTTGGAGCCTTTTCTCTGTGTGGTACCCATTCACTTTTCTGTCTTCTCTCTCCTTATGCTTGAATATCTTCTCTTCCCCACCACTGAAGAGACGATGAGCCCTTGGTTCCTGATCAATCTATATTCAATAACAATGGTGAAAATAATCAGGAAGAGTGTGATTTCTTTTGCAGTGTGTTTCGACACACACATGACTTGTGCTGGGAGCATTGCCAGATATACAGAAGTCTTTGGGGGACAAAAACAGATATAGCTTGTTTCATGAGAAAATGAACACGGGAGCTGGCTGTCTGCAGTTTGCATTAACCTTAGGGCACATGACAGAAAATTCTCCCAATATCGACTTCTCTGGCTTTTCTTTGCTGACCCACCCAGCTGCTGGGCTGGGCCAGAACAGTTCAGTTCCGGTGCTCTGGCAGCACTTGTGATCCTTCTCGTTGTAGGATTGCAGTAGTCTCTGCTCACCCAGTACTGAGCCTATACAACGCTCTATTTTGTCTAAAATCAGATTTGCAAAAGTGGTTTGACACGTAAATATGTGGAGAGGCAGCTAGATAGGTTTTCAGAAGCACCATATCAGAGGACAGATATGATTGATAAGGTTTAGATGTCTAGTAATCTTTGTACCACAGACAGATATGTACTGCAAGAGAGATTAAGATTCACCAAACTCCCAACTGTCCAAGTTCCCAAGTCCCAAGTCACATCTAGGTTCTCAAATGGAAGGCACTGTGGGAGCCTGTTGCCTTTCCCTGCTGGTTGCAAGTCTTGGAGACCAAAGGTGTAGAAGCAATACTTGTGGTGCCAAGAAAAATGAATGTAAAATGTCTCATGTAAAAAATAGTTTTTTGCTTTCTATTCATCCTCTTATAACGGTTTCTGTGCCAGGAGTGCCCAGGTGGCATGTGAGCAGGTTGCTTTGCTTTTACACAGAGAAGCACTGCCATGGTGTTGATAGGACTACGATACCACAGGGTAACATTTTAAGAGGGCCACTGCATCAGGGAGATTTCTTTCCCATGTTCAGCACTTGGAGAGGACTCAGCAAGTTTGCTGATGGTACCAAACTGTGAGGAGTAGCTGATACCCCAGAGGGCACTGCCATCCAGAGGGACCTGGCAGACTGGACAAGTGGGCGGTGAAAAACCTCATGCAATTCAACAAGGCCCAGTGCAAGGTTCTGCAGCTGGGGAGGAATAACTGCAGGCACCAGTACAGGCTGGAGATCGACCTTCTGGAGAGCAGCTCTGCAGAGAAGGACCTGGACGTCATGGTGGACAGAAAGATGACCATGAGGCAGCAGTGCGCCCTCGTTACCAAGAAGGCCAATGGGATCCTGGGGTGCATTAAGAAGAACGTCTCCAGCAGGTCGAGAGAGGTGATCCTGCCCCTCTACTCAGCTCCGGTGAGGCCACATCTGGAGAACTGTGTCCAGTTCTGGGCTCCACAGGACAAGAGGGATGTGGAGCTGCTGGAGAGAGTCCAGCGCAGGGCTACAAGGCTGATCAGGGGCCTGGAACATCTGCCCTATGAGGAGAGGCTGAGGGAGCTGGGCTTGTTCAGCCTGGAGAAGAGAAGGCTGAGAGGGGACCTGAGCAGTGTCTATAAGAACCTCAAGGGAGGCAGTGAGGAGGACTGGGGGGGCGTCTTTTCAGTGGTGGCCACCAACAGAACTAGAGGAAATGGCCACAGACTGAAGCACCAGAAGTTCCACAACAACTTAAGGAAAAATTTCTTGACAGTGTGATTCATCCATGAGAATTTTTTCATGTGCTGTTATCTCGTCCTTGGCCCCGCTGGCTGAAGTGTTTTCTGAACTCACTGCCTGGTTATTTAACTACTCGGGACACTAAGCAAAGATGCCAGCAGACTTAAGGCAGCGAACTACTTCCCTGGCCAAGAAATGCTGTTGCTGGATTTCACGTTGCAGTCCCTCTACAAAGAACTACCAGGAAAAAAGGAATGAATGCAAATGTTTGGGCTGTCTTCACATTCACTTGCAGTAAAGGGGCAGAAGAGGTGGTGCAGAGATGTTGAGACTCACTCTGCCTCATTCCTCATCCCGTCCCACTCCATGACCACAAACAAATCCCCTTCTCCCTTAAAAGAAGAGATCATTCTCCTCCCTGCTGCCGTTTCTGCAGAGCTCCTGCTATGAGGCTGAGTGGTGGGGCTGTTGGGGCTGTGTCCCTCCTTTTTAACCACCCTTCCGATGTTCCTATGCTCACACCAGGGCTCACGTGTGGTTCACCAAGAAAACACACCAGAAATGGGTCTGGAGCTCTAGGTCTGGAGCACTAGGAAGTTCCCATGAGGTGCTTTGCCCTGCAAACAGGGGCACTGGTGCTTGGTATGATGCAAGTGTCTCATCCTAATGAGCAGAGGGGGCAGAAGTCATCTGAAATACGGTGCCATTTCCTTGGTCTTGTCTCAGCAAGGCACCCTGCTCCTTCAAGCCCAGTCACCTGCCTCCAGCTCGATACTCGGGATGGAGGTGAAAGTGCCTGGAAAATGCTTGGCTCATGGCCAAGCCACCCAGCAGAGACGGAAGGCAGCCCGTGCTCTGGGAGCAGTGTGCCTTGCTCGCCTCTGTCCTTTGGGCTTATTGGGAGGAATTACTCATGGCTTGGGCTCTGCCATGAAATGCTCTTTGCCCTCCTGTAGTGGTATATTACAGATGTCTGGCCTCTAACTGGTCCAAGTTTTCTTCTTGTATTCTCTTAACTACCCTGCTCTTCTCATAATCTTAAAAAGTCCAGCTAAATCCCAATGCTTCCTTTTTCAAAGCTGAAATAATCCTAGCAATTGCAATATCTTGCTCATCTTTAAAGCTTTTGGTGTTTGAAGATCAGGGTGATCTTCTGTATGCTTTGAAAAAACTGAGCATGCAAATTTGTAAAGGGCAGGCCAGGGTTTGGTAGAACATCCTCACGCTCTCTTTGCACCATTTTTAGCTGCTACGAACGCCCCCACTGCCCAGTTTGCTGTGTTCACTGCAGCTTTGCCTTGGGAGGTGGCTCTATGAGAGGCACGATGCTTTGGTGGCCTCTGGGAGGAAAAAAGGGGACACAGGAGTCCTAGTTGGACCTGGCAGTGGCTAATATTTGACACCAGTACAGTCCTTGTTTGAGACTTCTCCAATGTGTTCTCCCTTGCCCTGTCGCCAGTCTTATTGCATGCATGGCAGGGAGTAGGAACCAAAATTTGTGGGAACTGATAAATGCTCTTTTTCCATGAAAAGAGGTGTGGGGTTATTTAAAATTTCCTCTTCGGGTGGTTACTGTCAAAAAGAGCCACATTTTTTCTACTGAAAGCTGTAAATCCACAAAATAAAGTGAGATTTCAATGACCAAAAGCAGAGGAGAGTTTGCAGTTACTTAAATAAATCAGCCTGGTGGAACTGGCTTTTCAGGTAAAAACCTAAATTCACTACAGAAAAAAAAGTGCGGCAGAGATGAAGAAGGAAAAAAGCTCTAGGGAAAACCTTAAAGGGAGAAGAACCTTCCCCTGATCTTTCCAGCCTGCATTTCCCTGCACTCTTGGTCTCTGTCTGTAAAATAGAGGAGCAGTTTCCCGTACCCCCCAGCTGTGTGATGAGCTCTGCAGTGCTCAAAGGGGAGGATGTGTATGGAGAAATTCCTGCCTGGGGACTGCTCGAGTGTAGCCCAGATCCAGAGTGGTGGGAGGCAGAGCACCCTCCTCCTCTAAACATTTCAGCTTCCTTCTTCGGGCAAAGCTGCTCCCCCAAAATTCCAGCACTTGGGTTGAGCCACTCAGCTCCTGGCCAGGTAACAGTGCGAGAAAGCCCTTCGGATGTCGAAGTCATGCCTGAAAGGCCCATTCCTTCCAGAGTCGCTCTTTCAAATATTGCTGGCAGGATGCTGTTGCTCCAGCCTCGCCGTGGTGCTGGGTTGCATTTGCATGGTGACAGCTTGCATGACTAAGGCACGAGCGCTTTAGCAGGGGTGGCCGGAATTTCCTTATGGGCCAGAAGTGAAAATGTCCCCCCAGTGACAGCCCTGTCTTTTGTAGTGTCTGTGCTAAGAGTTAATGGTTTTATCTCCGCTTAGTCTCCATGTAGAAGGTCTCTCAACAGCTCCCATGCGGAGAGATGCTGGAGGCTCCAGGAGGAGGCAGAGCAAGCCCAGGGTCTTGTGGTGAAGAGGAGCAGCAGAAGGTGTTGGAATGAACGGAATTACAAGATTTCATCCATAAATGGAGGATTAAAGGTACCTGGTGCCCCGTAGGAGCCCCATGGGCCAAGGGGAAGCAGAGCTGGCCAGCAGGGTGCAACTCTGCCTTTGGGCAGGCCCCCAGCAGCGCAGCCGGACTCCGCTGCTGCTCTTGTCCATCCCTGCCACCAGGCTGACCCAAGAGGCCAACATGCACCCCCGGAGCACCCCCATCCTGCCGAGCCCCCTGGTGCAGCCTCCCCGTTGCCCCTCGGCATGCGAGGAGGGGGGCAGCAGCTGGACAGCGCACATCTGGGCAGCACATCTGGAGAGCACCGCGCAGGCGCGGGGGCTGCTCGCCCTCTCCCTTGTTCTCCCCCTCCCCAAATAGAGGGCTCCTCACCCCAGGACCGGGCCCCCATGGGGAGAGGGGCGGGGGTCGCCGCTCCGCTCCCCCCTTCCCCTCCCGGGCCGGAGCCGGAGCCGGGCTAGGCACGGCAGCAGCGCAGCCCCTTCCAGCCATGAGGTCGGGCCGGGGAGACGGCACTTGCGCGGGGAGGTGAGCGAGGCTCCGGCGCCTCCCTCCTGCCCTGGCCCCGCGACGGAGAGAGGGGTGAGGAAGGGAAAGATTTATTTTATTTTATTATATATATGTATTATTTTTTTCTTTTATTGGGGGGGCGGGGAGGTGTGCAATCAATCCTGAGCCCATAACCGAAGCCCTCGGAGGGAGAAGTGCCGCGCGCTGTGATGCGTCTTCCTCTCGCCTGGGCTGCCACTTTGGATTGTAGCACCCGGCTCCGTGCTCTGAGAGAATGGCTCGGTTCGGGGATGACCTGCCAACGCGCTATGGAGGTGGAGGGCCGGCCGGGGCTGCCAGGGGCAGCAGCCGGCAAGGTGGCCCCCAAGCCGGCCAAAGGATGTACAAGCAATCGATGGCTCAGAGGGCCAGGACTATGGCTCTCTACAACCCCATCCCTGTCAAGCAGAACTGCTTCACAGTCAACAGATCCCTCTTCATCTTCAGTGAAGATAACGTTATACGGAAATACGCCAAGCGAATAACAGAATGGCCATATCCTTTCGTGCAGGGTGTGCGGGCATGGCGGGGACGGCGGGGAGGGGGCAAAAAGACCCCGCTCGTCACCCATGGCTGGTAGGCTGCCACAAGCAGGGGCTGCATGTGTGGGTTTGCATGTGCAATGGGTGTGTGGGGCTGCATGTCACAAAATGTACGGCTGTGTAGCTGGCTGTCATAGGAAATTGCTTCTGAAGGAAGGGCAGAGTGTGCTCCTGAATATTCCTGGGGTGTCTGTGCATTTCAGTGCCTGTTTAGGTGGGAGAGACACAGTGGCATAGATTTGCATTTCTTAAAATATAAGCTAAATGTGAAGGGGTCTGAGATTCATGCTGATCAATCCTCCCATTGTATCCATCTTAGAGCCCTTCAACTCTTCCTTCTCACTCTGGCTGAACAGAAAAGGGAAAATGAGATAAAAATGGTGACACCTTAGCATTAAGGCTGCATTGATAGTAGGGACGTTGATAACCAAAGTACCTTCTGAAATCCTGTTAATGCAACCACCATAGCTAGCCTTTTTCAGCACATCTCCTCCTGAATCTGTCTGAATCAACACAAATCCAGTCACTTTAAATTAAATGTCAGCTGAAGCTTATGCTATACCCCCCCCCCCAAAAAAAAAGGCAAAGATTGTGGCAGAGGGAGGCAGTAACTGGAGAGAAGGCTCATCTGCTGTATTGTGAAAGGGGCAGATGCTTTCTGTCTCAGAACCAGCTCCAGGGCCAAGTGATCTACAGAGATCTTCCTCAGAAGGGAGCTTTGCTTGTGATACTTGCAATGAGTTGTAAGTCCTGGGAGAGGGAAGGCAGGCTTTTCTTCCAAGATTATTTGAGGTTGCCAGGGGGTAGCTATAGTGTTTGTGTGTGTGTGTGCGTGTACAGGAGCGCGTTACACAGGGGAGCTCAGGGGAGCAGGTTGTTTTATTTTCATTTGATAACATGCACCTATTAATCCTCTGCTAACAGCAGCAAGGCTGCCTCCCAGCCTCCTAGCAACACTTTCTATTGACACGGAGGCCAGCTTCCCTTCAGCCTTCCCTAGCTTCCACCTCCAGAGGGACTAAAAGCCAAAAAACCCTACACCAGCAGTGTGAATGCATTTCCTTTCCATCCCGAAAGCATGCAGACATCGATTTCTCCGTTCCTACTAGAAAAAGCACAGGAATTGCTGCACTTCCATGGCTATTTCTGCTTCCCTGCAGTCAGGTCTGAATAAACAACCTGCAAAGCCCCAGTGGCAGTTGGAATACTGTATTTCCTGTAGGGCTGGATGCAGTCTCTCCCTCCCTCCTCTCTCTTTGGTTCCTAGCCTGCATCTCCATCGCCAAGCGCGGGGCGGGGGAGCCCCCATGCTCCTCCGGAAGCAGCCGCTTCAGCAGAGCCACCAAATGTTCCCCAGAGCGAATCGGCTGGGCCAAGTCCCCACCAAGGCCAGGGAGGGATGTTGGAGCCAGCTGTCCGCTCCAGGCATCCGGGGGTGGGTGGATGGATGAAGGGAAAGATGGAGGGATGCATGGAGGGATGCGTAGAAGGATGGAGCGGTGGTGGGGAGGAGCCGCTGTCCGCGGTGCTGGGGGTGCTGCCCGCGGTGCTGCCTGTGGGGCCAGGGCTCCGCGCACGACTCTGCCCAGCAGCCCAGGCAGACCCAGGGCTAAGGCCGGGGCGAGGGACAGAGTGTGCCCGGGGGCAGCTCTGCCTCCTCTCCCTGCATCCCACAGGGCGCTAGTGGTTTTGTTCTCTCCGGGAGCAGATGATCCAGTGGCTCTCCATCCCTTGGAGCTGCGCAGATGGTCTAAACCTAAGTTTTCCAGCCCGTCACTTTTTTCCACTCTGTGCTCAAGTTAAATGACAGGGAATTTCTGAACATTAAATCAGCAGAGGGCATCCAGATCTCTATCTAGTACTTTAGTGTTTCAATTTCATGAAAAAAAAGCTTTTTTTTTGTTTGTTTCTTTAATACCTTTGCTAGCTCCCTTTCTCCTGGCACCAACATTTCTTGAGCAGCTCAGATTCTTTTCAAGTTACCAACTCTCACAAAATATAGTGATTTTCCTACTTTTCTTATAAAGACACCCTTAGAAAGAACTGAGGAGATCAGAGAGATCAACTGTCCGCATGAGAGATGAAAGACCTTTGTATGCTCAACTAATATAACTGTTTAGTTAGAAATTGAAGTTAGATAAAGTTCTCCTGGTGTTGTCTAGTTTCTTCTTTAACTTCTGGTCCCCACTCCATTTGAATACATGATTTTAGCTACAATCATAGCCAACTGTATTGTGCTGGCTCTGGAGCAACATTTGCCAGATGGAGACAAGACACCTATGTCAGAAAGATTGGTGAGTTGTATTTTTTTACTTTTTTTTTTGATTTTGGTCTGATGAAAAAAGGCAGTCAGCCCCCCAGTGCTGTGGGTGCTTGTTAAAGATCCGTATGCAAACAAATATTGAACTGATGATCAGAAAAATAAGCCAGTAACAAGCATAACTATGAGCTCATGATCCCATCACCACAAGAATGCTTCATCACTCCAGTCAATCCTGCCTAATTGCAGAAGAAATGAACTTTAAAGTATGATCATGAGAGCAGCAAACTTAGGTTGTCTATAGATCAGGGTCAGGACGGATGGCGAAGTGCTCAGTTTTGTCTATAGAATCAAATGAACATCTGTAATGTTTTCCCAGGAAGTGGTAGAACAGAAGAACCTTCTCAGTTCATTTGCCTTTCAGCTATCTTTCTGCTATGGATATACCCCAAGGATCTATCATGCAAACTTTGGGTTTGGATGATAACACTTTCCTGACAAATAAAATAAAACTCAACTTACAGAGGTAAAACAGCATGCTTTATGATAATGAGCCAAATTATCATATTTCAAAAGGATATATAAAAATAGCTTCAAAATCTTTCTTCCATTTATCATCACTGTAAGAAAAATGGTAATATTATGCTTTTTTCTTACTGATACTGATCTAGAATATTTTCCATGCCTAAATGCATTAGTACTTGTATATGTTCAATGGATGAATAATATAAATCTGTATGTATTTTACATGTAGATATTAAATCATGCAAGCACAGATAATATTAGGCTTGCTGCCAGAAGTTAGGAACTCTGAATGCTGGTTGCTACAGTTTTCAAGGCTGGTCCATAGCAATAGGCAAGACTCAGAATCTCATTCTTCAGGAACAGGAGGAGTCTGAGACATCTAGAAAGATATTCAGGGACAGCTAGTTGCTACTGCCTGTCTGGAAATGTATTTGCTCCCACTTCCCATCACCTTACATTGTAGTTGCTTCTTCTCATTCTATTTAAACTACTTCTATGTAAGAAAAGATGAGGAAAAAATAATAACTTGTGAAATATATTTTTTCCTTTTGGCCATTAGGTGACAATGGGTCTGTGTCTGTTTTGGGTTGTACTAGCAGGGCTAGTCTGGGTTGGTGAGAAAAGCACAGCTTTAGACCCCAGGTAAGGATCAAACTGGAGAAATGCCAGGGTTCCCTCCATGGTTCATAAACATATGGACTAGTGAAAGGATGAACTACTTCTAAAGCATGTTCTGACTTGGTAATCCTTTTGTGATTTGTCATTTTTAAGCAGCAGTGAGTTTGGTTAGCATATTCCAATATGCTATATACTTGTTAGATGTTCTTCTGTTTCCACAGCTCGGCAAGGGGAACCAAAGGTTGATTTATTGGTCCTTTTTCCCATTGCATTAATTATTTTTTGGTGCCCAGTAGTGCACACACCCCTTCTGTTCCTGGACAGATCACTGCATAGAGGAAACATTGCCTTTACCACCAAATAATGCAAAATAATTGAATGAATTTATGCACAGTTAAATGCATAAATGAGTTATATGCACAGTCTCCGTACTACTGGCTCTGCCTTAGTGATGGAGGAAGAACTAACTGCTGATTTATGTCCACAAAGCCACTGTGCAGCATTGTTTTTAATCCAGATATTTTAAGGCCATTTCAACTACAGCACATTTGTAATTCTCAAGTCTAAAGTAGCTTACAGCAGCATAACTCTGCAAGTCTGTACAAGTCATGGAATATTTTCTATTATTTTCCGTATGTTCACTAACAATTCTTAATTGCAAATATGACAAATTGTCTTTCGGTTTTCAAATTGAAAACTCTTAACAGAGATCCTCTGTCCTTTCCCCAGTCTTTAAGTTGCTTCATTGAAAATGTGATGAATTCCTGTTCAACCACAGAGTGGGAGAACATTCCCATACATTTGCAGATATGCTAAGCTGAATTATAAGTCCATGCAGAAGAGCAGGTGCTTTATTATTGTCTTTTTGGCAAGATCAGAATATGCATTTTTTGGTTAATGCTTTATGGATATAACCTCTCTTCTTTTGGGTTCATTAAAATCTGCAAATTAGACTGAGGGCTCATTACTGAAGAGTTAATCAGCTCTTAAGGACACAACCCCCTTTAGAACTGCGAGGTGTAGGCAGAGGTGTTGAAGGAAAAACCAAAGTTGTCCAGGTATTTTGTGCCTCAGGAACAACAAACGAAATAGTGAAACTGTGTCTTTGTTAAAACAGATCAAAAGATGAAGGAGTCGATCAGTGATTTTATTCCTAATAAAAATTTCCTTCTAGTTCTCTTCCTGGACACATCAGATATGAACCTGCAGTGAAGTTTCAGTTGGCTGTTTTCTATGCTCATGTCACCTGTCAAGTAGAGTTAATTGAACACACGGGATGAGCTAGAGATGTCTGAATATATACAGTATTTTAAGGACTGGAATGGCTTAGCTATAAGTAATTGTTCTCGCTCCATTTTCCCCAATTCCTATGTGCAGCTTGTGGCACGGAAAAGCTGCTGGTAGCTACCTGGTTCAGGGACTCCATTAAGCTGCAGCTCATTTCTCTAGAGTTTCTCCAGCACTCTAGTCATATAAATGTTCTGTTCTGCTAGAATAAGAGGGGAGAGATAAGCCTGTAAATAAAATCCAAGGAAATGATACCAGCGGCAAGATATTTTGCTATTCAGAGCCTGATCATTCAAACAGAAGTGTACTGTCTCTGTGAGTCTGTCAGTGGAAAAGTTTATTTATCTCTGGAAAGGAAATTATGATCAACATGAAAACCCTGAGAAGACACAACTCCAATGACAGAAGCATTTACCTGCAAGTTGGTGTCTTGGCTGAAATTCCTTGTTTTTTTTGAAAGAGTTAAGCTCCCTGTCCCACTAGCAGGGGAATGAGCCACCCGCCAGGTTCCTGCCTGCTCTGAGCTGGAAGTGTCTCATGCTTTGGCTGCTGGAACCACTCCCTCCGCATCACTGCTTATCCACTGGAGCAGGGATGCTACAAACTCACCACTCTGTCTCAGTGGCTCATGCACTCAGCTGGGATATGGAGCCGGTTTCACTCGGTTGCAATAAATTTTCCTTGTTAATACACAATGAAATAATGCCAACTGCAAAGATGCTGAGGGTGGCCCTGGCTAGCCCAGAGCCGCAGCTGTGGGAGCGGGAGTGTCAACCCGGGCGGCCTCGCACGTGGTTGCATTGGGCACTATGCTCTTACCTGCTATTCCAGGCTGAGGCCCACGTAAGCTCTCCCTGCCTCCCTCCTCCTCGCCCTGTTTTTTATATGAACCTTCAGTAGATCTTGTGTTTGTCACAGTCTGACAGAGATGACAACACAAACACTTGCAGGACAGGAAGTCTATTTCCTGCCCCCGTCTTGTGCACACTGTGTTTGAAGACACCGGAGGTTTCGCTAGGAGGATTGTCTGTCATTGCAAGACTCCAAGTGCCTGGTTCCCCTGGGCAGTTTTGATGTGAAAGCAGAACACAGCTGGTTCCTCATTTATTCAGCATGAGAGCTCTTTCACTTGGCTAATGGATTTAATTCTTTATCCCAATCACAGGCACTCCATGGGTCATATGTGAGCTGTTCATATTAACCTTTGGTTGAGTAAAGCCTTATACACCTGAACCTATCAAAGATGTCACATCCAAAGGCCAAGGAAAGACACTGGAAAAACACGGACTAGAAATAGTAATGACTTTCCAGACTCAGAAGTTTTTTTTTTTTCTGATTTGAAACATATTGCTCAAATGCATGTTTGGCCAATATCAGGTTTTCCTTTGTCCACAGCAAACAACTTGCCCACACAGCTCTGGCTGCTGTCCAGGTTCTCCACCTTCCTTCTAAGCATGCACACCAACACTGGTTATTGCCTGCTTTTCCCCTCTTGAACCCAAGCTGGGACAAAGCTGTCCAAAGTGGGCTGCAGGATTCCCCATCCTGGATGCCCTGCTTGGGGCTGTCAGCAGAGCTATGTCAGTTCTGCTTTGGGTACATCACTACCTAATGGGGCATCAATTTTATTTCTTATTCCGTCCTTGTTTTTGCCATTATCCTTAGGCTAAATCAGTATAAATTTAGACTTTATAAAGGAGGAGTTTTCTATCCCCTCCCGCCTTTCTAGCTTCCTATTCCCAACCCTCTTGATGATATTTTTTCTTTTTTAATAAATACCAAGCCTATTTGTGATTGGAAGCTGAACAGAACTCCTCTGACTGCTCCCTTAAACCTCACCAAAGTCTGAGCTTCAATAAAAGATGCACCAGCTGTGAAAGCTACGGACGCAGAGGAGAGTGAAGGAAGAATTGATGGAATAAACAAGTCATTTCTTGTCAACGTTTTCAAGCTTTCTGGGCTCACAGTGATGTTCAAAAATATCTGTTTTCTGAATAATTTCTAAAACTTTTTTCCCTTGTCAATAACTTAAGAAATATATGATCTTCAATTTTAAAAACTTTTGGAGCAAAATTTCAGTCTTACAATTCCCCTTAGAATCTTGAGTAATAGTGAAGTGTGGAGTGAAAACATCAGAATAAAGGCAAACAACTGCAAATGTGCAAAGGCAGAGAAAGTCCTGGACTCCTCCTCTATGCTTAGGTCTGATAAACTTAATCCTGGGGATTTCACCTCTGTCCAGAAAGCTGAGCAGGATGTAAAGTCTATGCCTGTAGATGTCTGTTTAAGACTTGATGCCAACGCAAAAGTGTGGGTATTTTTTGACACTCTGGATTTTTATTCTCTTTTAGGATGATACTGAACCGTACTTTATTGGAATATTTTGCTTTGAAGCTGGTATAAAAATCATCGCTTTAGGGTTTGTTTTTCACAAAGGCTCTTATCTCCGAAATGGTTGGAATGTGATGGATTTTGTTGTGGTCCTCACAGGGTAAGTAGCTTATTTCTGCCCTAAGTTTTTTGGCAATTCTTACTTTGTGTGTGGGGTGTGTGTGTATATATAATATATGTATTTCATATAGCCTGGAGTGGGAGTGATTCTGGTGAAATATTACTCTAACATTGCATGTTAAACTTTGTCTTTAAATAATGGCTATTGTGCTGAATAAGTCATGTTCAAAGCATTGTTGAAATAACTGAAAAGAGGTTTTGGAGGATATTTGTTTGTATATATGCTGTCATGTATCTTACCTGGATAAAACAAATTATATTCTGTTATTAGAGTGATTTAAAAAGTCAACATGGGAGAGACATAACAGATTGAATGTGTTCTGTTTTTAAGCTATTATAACTTTGAAATTGGTGAAGCTTCTGCAAGAATGAATTTTGTCTATTTAAAAAAAAAAACTTTGTAAGAAAAACTCAGAGGGTGTGTTTCTTAAAAGGATGTAGCTGAAAACATTGTTTGTGCATTTAAATATTATTTCTTCAAAATATTTATACCTCTTTTTATGCTATACCTTGCAACTATTTCTATTCATATTTATGTAATTTAAAGCTAGTCAGTAATGAAAATATAAGCACTTTAATTCTTATTATGTATAAATTGTGCTTTTAGGTTCTGGAGTAAATATTATTTTCCAAAGGTCTGTTTGAGATCCTGATCTTGCAGCCTTCATCTTGGAGTGATTTTAGTGTGATATTTCCCCTATATTCATATCCAGTCTTAACATTAATTAGATGCATTATTACTGTAATTCTATTTGCATTCAGTGTGCCATGTGATAATGGCAACTGAGATACCAAAGGGAATTCTTCATGTATTGAGAAGAACATATATATGGAGGGTTTGGCTATCCTGCTTCTGGAGCTGAGTGTTTAACCAACAGAAATTTCTGTGGAGCCACAAGGAGAATCAGATTTACCGACTTGGAAAGACAGAGGATACCAGGATGAGGGGAGAATTAGCACAGATGCTGCAATTCTTTTTGTGCTATGGTATATTCTGATTCTTAGTTTGCACTATGCCCTTTTTAGTGCGTTAAATGAACAGGCTGCAATTCTGGAAAGGATTTGGGGGCATGGTTTAATTTATCCTTCAGTGAGACATTCGAGCACAAGTTTCAGTGCAGCTACCTCTTGCAGGTCTGTGTGCTTAAAGTTAGGCTTAAACACGAGAGCTCTTCTAACTGCAGTCATACTGCTATTTCTTCAGGCATGTTTCAGATTTGGGCTTTATTTGTCTAGTAAACACAGACCAAGAATTGGAATATATAAGTCTTGAGAGCTAACTGCCTGAGATCTTGAGTTTTGCCCTGGTATCAGAAATGCCCCGTGTTGTGCATGGAGCCATTGCTGAACATGCCAGGCTAGAGGCAGGGCCCGAACACCTTCCTGGCGCAGTCCTGCTGTGAGCGCTGTGCGCGGTGCTGTGTGGTCTTGGTGCATAATTGCAGAGTATCAGCCTGATTAGACAGCTGTAATAAGGAACCCTGTTGCCATCTGTAAACATGTGTATTCTTTTGAAGTCCAGCCCTGTTAACGTCAAGGCTCCTGGTTTCCAGTGGTGATACTGGCTGGGTTGTATTGAAATTGTCTTGTACTTTGGCTTCCTGCCAGGCAGGCAATGAGGGGAAGGTGAGGTGTAAACTAGAGACATTAAGTCCAAGAGCCATCTCCAGTGGGGAAACCCACAGCCTTTTAATCCTGCAATTTGTGGGCTGAATTTAGCAAAACTCTCATTCATGCCTAGCCTTGGGTGTCTGAAGGGGTCTCACCGAACACAGTCCCCTGGGTACTAGCTGAGACAAACTTTCCTGAATTTGGGACTGTTCTTGCAGGTGGAGGGAACCTGTGGCGTGAAATTAGTGAATTGTCTGCAGCTTCACACAGGGGATGAAAGCAGGGTTTTCTCTGTAACCTCTTGTGTTTTGCTTAGAATTTCCTAGATGATTAGTATGTTCTTAGCTTGCTCTGGCTTTGCCATGGCTCTGTGCTAGAGAGCAACAACTTTTCCTCGGTCTTTCCTTGCTGGCCAGAAATCCTTTTGTCCACCCATGGTCTTCTCCAGCTCTGCTCATCCTTCCTCAAGGGGAAGTCTGAGCACAGCATTTTACTGGAGGCAGGTATCAACCTGGGGTTTCTGCTGCGCCTCTTCAGAGGCAGGTTGCTGAGAAGTAACATTTACTAATAACAAACCATGCTGCTTCTCCAGGGAGGCTCTGCAAAGTGGTGACACAAATGGAGCTTTAATTTGGCTTTCTGTGGAAGATGATCTTGGATCTATTTGCTTCAGAAAATGATTGGGTCAGGTCCTATAATGTACCAAAAATTAAAAAGACAGCAGTAAACTTGCATTTAATGCATTCCTATAAATATAAATAGGTAGGATATCAGTTTTTGCAAAACCATGTTGCTACTCAATATTGAAAGCTTTCCTTTGCCATGTGTGCCAGATTGGAGAGTGTTACTTAATGCTTCACAGACAGTGATTTAAACTGGTCTGCAAAATCATAGATGGATTTTGATTCCTTGTGTTTCCCACTTAATCAGAAAAGACCCCGAAAAGTCACTTTATGGTAACAGGCGTGGGGTTGTCTACCTGCTAAGCCTGTTGAGTGTGCTTTTTTTATTAAGATGGAGGATGTCAGAAAATCTGGTCTCCCCTGGCTGATTTTAGCTAAAAACCATCAAAGCAGACAGCAGCTTTGCTCTCATTTGCTGTTTCCATAGGAAGAAGCTCAGTCAGTGTCTGTGTTTTGAAGGAGACTGTGGGGGAAGGCTCTGCATTTATTGAACCTACCCCATGGGAATTTAAGTGATCAAGAGGTAACCCTTCCCACCTGCTTTTTTACCCCCTCTCCATTTTTCCTCACCCAAAGCCTACGTACTGATATTAAGTGTGTGTGTGTGTGTGTATATATATATATCTTTTTATAAACTTGTGGTGATAGGCATTGCCTGTCAAAATCAGATGCTAGAACTTGTTAATCAGAAAATAAATCAGGGTTCTGCTATGTGCAGCCAGGATCAATATCCTATTGAGCTAAGCTGGAGGCTGATAGGTTGAGGTCCAAAATGGCTTAGTTTGTTCCAAAAAGCGCTCCCTTGGTTTCTTACCACAGCAATGCCACAGTGTCTTTCTCATTTACTTTCAGGGAAGCCTGCTGATTTGCTCTTAATAAAGCTCTGCAAAAATAATAGATTTCTACTCCCTGGAAGATTTTCTTTCCTCTATTTTTTTTGTCAGTTATTTCTTGTAAACTACTTCTCTCGTAGATGAGTATTGAGGAAAGCTGTCCTGCCGTGATATGCCAGTTGCTATTGTGGAAGGATACATATTTTATAGCTCCTGTTCACTTTACGTTCTCTTTTTATAGGCTTACATTTGCTCCAGTGATGACATTGCCCATTAGCAACTCTAAATCATGCAGAAATGGAACTGTCCGAGTGGTCTGGGATTATATAGTCTTATCACCTTTATTTCCAACGGAAATCTACCTCTCTTCCTGTGAGTTGTCTTGGGATGGCAACCTCAGAAAACTATGTCGTTCTAGGGAACAGAGTCCCCCTTGCCACATCCAGGCTGCTCATTTGTCTGGCAGTGGATGCATTATGGCAAATTCAGGACTGGTAGGATTAGGATGTTACAAAAATTCGCATGCAATAAGGTGCATGCATCCCAGGCTTTGGATACAATAGTAGAAACTGCTACTGGGTTAAAACACAAATGTCCTTTTTGGCTGGAGCTGGTCTAAAACAGTGCCTGCTGCGAGGAAGAATTGAAATCAAGGCATGTATAAATGATCCTTACCTTCCCTCTTTGCAAAATTCAGAGGTCTAGGAATGCTGAGAAAGATGTGTCTGGCTTTTATACCTAGTGATCCATAGGGGCTCTTTCTTGGTGTTTTTTGGACCCAAGTTATACTTTTGAGTCCATCTTGTTTTAGGCAGTGTGTCCCATGATTTAATTACATACCAGAAGCTACAGGAAAAGGTGCTGCTTCTTTTTTATTCCCTTCCACTAGCTGCCTGAGACTTCTGCTGGCTCCCTTTAGATCTTGCTTAATGAAACTTAAGGAATAATCATGTCCTTTTCTGCATACTTGCACTCTTACTCTCTAGCATTTCCCAGCAGAGTCCTAGGTTTCCCAGCTTCCCCATTGGAAAGCTGGTCTGTACACCATGGATCTCCAATGTTCTTGTTCTGGGTCCTTCCTAGTTCTATTTTATCTGTTTTGAGATCATAATTGCAATCATGTTTACTGTTTGTCCAGCATCAAAATTGCTAGTGGTGTATAAATAAACGGAGCACCTAAGAATCATGTTGTGCCCTGTATGGACAGTTAGCTTTTACCTTTAAATCAGTCTGGATTGGACACTCTAAAGGTTCTGGTGGTGTCCTGAGTCAGCCAGCTCAGCTGCCTGGATCCCTGGGTGGGACTGGCAAAGCTAATGTGCGCCAGGCCTGGAGTAGTCAAATACCTGTTACTGACATAATAGTAACAAAACAGGATTTGGGGAGCAAATCACAAAAGCTAGACCTATCTTGACTAAGAAATATGTTTCTAGGCTACTGGAGATGTTAATATCCTAGAAGGTAACGTCTTTAGTAGCCTAATAAGGACCTAATCATCCTTGATGTTAGCTTTGCTTGTTACCAGGATCATCATAATCTGTAGGCAGTTTGAAATGCTATTTCTGGAGTTGTCTGAGGAGCAGCAGCTTTGGTTGCAGTGATGACTGCTGTAGGGGGAGGTACATGAACCATCGTGCCTAATCCACACAGTGGCCTATGGAGCTCTGAGCTCTAGCTGGATGTGCCTTCTAGACAGGATGTGGGGTGTGATATGATGAAAGTATCTGCAAAGTGAATGTCTGTGAGGGCTGGGACTCCTAAAGCTGCCAAACATACATGGATGTCTGTAGTATCTAGCACTTTCCTTCCTGCATGTATTTCTAGGCATTCACAAGCCTTTAGACTAGCATGTA